GGGGGGCGGTGGGGAATGATCAACATGATGACTAAGTTGGTTAATAAGTACTTGAAGTTTGGATTCTTTCATGTGTGGTACTGGTGGGTAGGGCACTGGTGGAATCAAATTTGGGGATTGAGTCACTATCCAGTTGGTCCCAAAAGTCAAGTGAGTGCGTGCCTACTGCCAAGTCATAGCTGATGCAAGCATCCTCATCTCTCAAAATGCCCTTCCTTGGTCATGAAATTTAGGAAAAGTGGGTTCAAAGGGCACTATAGGACATCCCCATTTTTGCAAGAAGCACTTAAAGAGAAATGAGGAGGGTGGGGGACCTCCCCCCATTTGGTTCTAAGGGATTGTGAAGGTTACTTTGCCTTTTTATTGTTATCATCTTCTCTTTTTGAGATTATCTTTCTTTCTACAGAGTATTTTCATGTGAAGTCACATTCTCATCAAAATGAATCTTTCTCTTAAAAGACAATGAGATTTTTATTTTGAAAACTTAAAGGTTTTGAGATTGATAAAAAAAAAAAAAAAGGCTATTATTTTTATACAATTTATCATCAAATCTTTCAATTCATTTTTTCCAAACTATATAAAACTAAGAAAATCTTACATTTTAAACAACGGATTAAATCATTCCTCACTTTTGGACTTAATGGCTTACCACTAATTTTGTGGGAACATCCATTTGGGTTGAATGTTTGAGTTTCCGAATTCTTTTTTCCCATTCCCTCTTTAATATTGTAGGAATGATTTTTTTTTTTTTTAAAAAAAAAACCGCTGATTAAACCAAAAGTAAACTACAATAATTTTTTAATTTTTCTATTTTTTGATTGTGCATATAAAGTCAACCTTTTCTCTTGGGCAAAAGGTTTGGAGCCTAGAGGCCCAAGATTAAAGCATAAACCACTCGAAGAATCTGTCTAGCCAGAGTATTTATGCCAAGTTTGGCCCAATCACATATCAGTTCATACATCGGCCCATTAAATTTTTTTTTTTTTGCCTAAATAAGGGACAACGGTATTAATATTCGGAATTTGAAAATTGCAGATGTAGACAATCGCCGCATTAGTCTTTCCCTCTCAATTCCAAAAAATTTGAATTTCCGAAAAAATCAAACGAAAATTTAAACAACAAAAAACCTCCCGGAAAACCGGACACCATTTCGCCTCGCCATGGAAGAAGCCGACCAGGACCACCTCGGCCACCACAGACCTCCTCCCTCTCTGCTATCTCTGGCTCCGTTCTCTCCCCCCTCCCGGCGCAGGCTCTCCAGTAACTATGCCAACCCGCCCCGACCAATCCCGTTGGCTCGGGGACTTGCTTGGGTGTCTCTCCAGGGCCGGCTCGTCAACGCAGAGGAAGCCAGTTCTGCTAAAGCTATCGGCGGCTGCCTGAGCCAAGAGGAGGCCGTAGCCTGGGAATTGTTTACCCCTATGCAGAGATTCCTCATCGTAGCGGTGATTGGAGTTGTAGCATCACAGTCAAAGAAAAACCAGACCATTTGGCAGCTCAAAAGATCTGTAGAGCTTCGGGTTGGTTTTATTTTTTTGCAGTAATTTGTTATGCACTTCTTTTATTTATTGTTTCGTTTATTTCCACTGCATTTAGAGTAGCTGATTTCATAATTAATTCTGCTAATTTATTGTTTCTTTGATCTTTAATATATCAGCTACAAATGTATTATTAATTATGTCTAGAATCCCATTTCATACATTTTTTTTTTCTTAATTTCTTCTAATTTTGAATATTATACCCAATTTTTGTCTGAGTCTGAGTAGGTATTTTCGAAATTGAGCTTCATTCTAGAGATCAGGTGCTGATTTTACTCTATCTAATTGGGTTTTCAGGATCAGGTGCTGTCAAGCATGCAGCAGAAGCTAGATACTCTGTGTGGACAGCTGAATAATGTCAAGGATCAACCAGGAATTAGAGACAAAATTGTAGAATCAGAAGCTTTGGGATCTGAGAGTATTAAATTGGTTGACTGTGGCTGTTGGTTCTGTGATCAACATCATGAGGGATTCGTGGGATTGGTGGTCAGATTTTGATTTATACCCATTTAAATGGTGATACTAAGACTGTGGTCTGTTGTCAGTGGTCTCCTAATTGTGCTTTTCTTATCTTGTTTCTTATATGTCAGGCCAATCCTGTTAAACAAACCTCTGTTGGGGATGAGATGCTTCAATATAAAATGAATTTGCCAAATAAGGTAGAACCAGAGGAGCGCCGCATGTCTGATTTGTCAGACTGGGCTGCTTCGAGTGTTACATCTGTGTCAGATATCCAGGTGATTTCAAGAGCCTTACTTGCAACATGTTTCATAATACATTCTCTTGGTTTCTACTACTTGACGCTATAGCTGTTAGATGATGTTCTGTGCTTCACTTGGCTGAAAAGAGAGAAAGATCAGTGAGAATGGTATCCTGTTTCATTTAATTTGTTTGATGTTCCATTTTTACTTCTTTTATAGTTGAACAACCTTGCAATAGAACAAGACATTTTCAATCTAAAGAAGGAATGTGAAGACAAGGATGCCATCATAAAGGAGCTGAGCACCTTAATCCAGTCATCTAATGTGATGGGTTCAAAGGTGATGTTTCATTTATGTTATTAGGTACTTTGGCCCAATGAACTATTGTAACTCTGTTGAACATAATGTTCTAATTTCCTTTTCTTATAACAGAGGATATCAGAGTTGGAAGATATTATAAGGAGGAAGAACGTGATAATTACAAGACTTAAGAAGGACATGGTGGTTCTAGAACAAAAGTTGAGTATATACTACATACTACTTCATCTTCCTTTGTTGCAAATCCACTTTATACTACTCCAAGTAGAACTTTGCTATTATTTTTGTTAATTACCTTATTAATGAAAATATCAGAAATCAAAGTTCCTAAATTTAACACAAAAAAAAAAAAAATGAAATATAGTAATCAAATCTTTGAAATGGGGGGATTAAGGACATCAGTCAGTTTTCCATGTCATTGGACCAAAAGTACATACAGAAAAGGTTGTGCATTCATTAATAATTCATGTATTGACAGCTTATTTGCAAAACTTGTGGGTTTGGTAGAATCATATAATGTATATGATTTTCAAATTCTGATCAATACTATTATTGAAGCTATATTGTCATGTGCAGGTTATGCAACTTATGAGGCTGCAAAGGCCTTCCTCGTCTTCTTCAAACTCAAACTGTTGGCACCTTCCGGTCATGACAGATAACCTTCTTTATGACATGGATAGTACTACTAGCCCTTCCTCTTCTGATTCAGAAACCTCTCCAAAGAACCAGCCACAGACTGCCATTACTAATGTTCAAAGGTCTCCAAAAAACCAGCCACAGACTGCCATTGCTAATGTTCAAGAGGTCCCTTTTCATAATGCTGACTTTTTATCAACAATAGAGCAGATATCAACACCAACAAAAGCTTCAAATGCTTTGCCAAGACCGACTGGTTCTCGTTCAAAGTCTCGATCAGTAAGTCCTCTGAAAGAGATAGTAATGAATCATAAATCCGGCATCCTTTCTTCAAGGCAAAGACCATTTTCCGCTCTTGGAGATAGGCAAAGACCATTATTAGCTCTTGGAGATAGCAGGAAGAGTAGAAAGGGAACTCAAAGTGCATCCAAAGAAGCAACTCCAAACAAGAGATGGGTTTAGTAAGTATTTCTAGTTGTTGATTCCAGTTTGGCTGGTTTCAAATATTATTTTTGTCTTACTGATCGGGCTAATAGTGGAATAGATAGGCCGAAGCATTTGGATTAATGGCTCCTTAAACTTATAAGCTTTTCAGTAAATTATGGATTCATCACTCCTTTTTCTCGTTGAAGATATAGGGATATGATAGTTGTTTTTGTGCAAACACCCTCCAAACCGTTGTTATATGCTCCTAGTGGGAATGGTCGCTTTGCATTTTATATGGTGTGGCTTCTCTAGATGCTATAATTACATACATGGGTAAGAATTATACAAACTGTATCCTGTTCTGACATTTACTTTGTGCCCGTTCTGATTTTAGGTTAAAACAGATCAAAGGCATTGACAGTGGATGTATGCTGCATGCTGCAAAAATATACTTGCAATTGAGGATGGTATGTAGGACCAATCAGTATTTGTGTAGGGTAGATATTAAGAAGCGCAATTTTCTATTTATATGACTCAATGTTTTTTCTACTTTGATGCGATTTAACTGCGTATGATATATTGTAAATCTAGTAAAATAGTTCTTTGGCCAAAAATTTTATGCTTTTTAGTGTAAATTATGCTTTTAATGTGTAGTTTTTTTATTTTTTTTGATCATTTTTATCATGGAACCGGGTAGAATAGTAGTCCTTGGGAGGAGGGAAATGAACCTACAATAGTAGCTAACACCACTTGGTCCATAGGCCAGGTTCGCTTTTAATGTGTAGTTCAAACGTAAAATTACTAAATTTTATCATTAATAAATGAGCATAAGGGGCAATTTCTTTAACTGTAGTTTGTATAGTGAAATATTAAATTATTATTAATAAATATAATCAAAAAGATAATCTTATTACGAACTTGACCCTGTGGACTAAGTAATTTTAGTTATTCTTTTAAGATTTATATTTTCTTTTTTGAGGGTAACGATTCGAGTCAGTTTTATGACTAAAATGTTTCAATAAATAAATAATCTTATTGCACTTTACTCTTTGGGTTAATTGACATTTTGTCAGTTTGAGGTGCATTTTTTTTTTTCCATAAAGGGGTTTTGAGCTCGTCTTTGACAACTTGTTCAAAAAATAATAATAATTTTATTAAAAATATTTTAATAATTTAAAAAGTATAATATTATTCGAAAATCTTTTTTTTTTTTTAATTTCTACAAGCTCCTTTCTTTTATTCTGTAATAGTACTTGCACAATTTTTTTTTTGAACAAAGTACTTGCACAAATTTAATACTCCATTTTTATGTAAATTAAATAATTAATTCATTTGGACTAGGTCTCATAAATAAGATATTTAGGTATATTTAATATTTTTGTGATAATCAAAATTTAAAACATAATAATACAATGCTATCCTTTATCTCTCTTCCTTAAATTGTATTTGTTTAAAAAAAATAATTGATTTGAGGACAAAAAAAAAAAGATTTATTCATTCTTACCCTTTTTAACTTTTCCCACATTCCTTATTACCCTTTTTATAACTTTTATATATACAGCAAATGAATGTTAATTTTAGAAAATTTTATTTTATTGTTTATTTATTTATTTATTATTATTATTATAAATATAAGAATGTATCACGATAGCGTCACCAAGCCGTCACATCTGGTCACGTCACCTCATATGTCTGAAGGTTTGAAGTAGAGAGAGAGAGAGTCTTAGGACTCTAAGCACCATGCTTCATCGCGGCGCATCCGTCCTCACACGCAGCCATATAGCGTCATATGAAGCGCCAGTCAACGCATGTGATTGGGCGCGTGTCACTGTACCCTTTCTCTCTCTCCTCAGCTCAACCTTTTTTTCCTTAATGGAAAACGAAAACTCACGACTGTTTAACAGGTTTGACAGAGCATCAAGTTCGTTTATCATGTAATTTTTATATAAATTTTTTTATTATAAAAAAATAAAATTAATAAATTAATATTTATTTAAATACTAATTAAAAAATTTAACCCCATGATCATGTATTGTACTTTATTTTGTTTTTTTATAAAAAAAAATATAATTATTTGAACCACACGGAAAAATGCGATTCTCATGTAGATCTTAGTGTAAGAATCTCATAATGGAGCCAATCGGCTTCTGACTCAATTGGTTGGCCCCTAAGTTTTAGGGTTTGGGTGAGGTGGATGTTAGGACTTCGAGTTCTGCTACCGCCGTGAACTTCACCAACTTGCGACCTAATAGTCGCGCATCTCAAATGAGGAGTGAAACGTTCACTTTCTTAAAAAAATTTTAGCTGCTAACAAACTAACTCTACTAACTTTCTAACCACTTACCTGGTCAAAAAAAAGAATCCCATAATGGATACTTCCGATACTCTGTCAAGATTATTAAATAATATTAATTTTTAACAATCCCTTCTTATAAGATTAATTTAGTAATTTAATTTTCTTCGCGGAAAGTAGGAAATTCTCTCCCTGCAGGCTGCAGCTCTGCAATC